TGAAAGGCGGGTACCGGGAGGTCTTCCCCCAGTACCAGGGGAGTCCCCCCACCTTTGCCCCCTGTGTGGGAGGGGGGCCTTGGCAGGAGGGGAGGGCTGGGGGGAAACACCCTCTCCTGCTGGGGGAAGGAGGGGTCTGGCTCTGAGCATCCTCCATGGGGATGGTACCTCGAGGGGCGCAGGGGGACCGTGCTGAGGGTCCTGGGGTGCTGTGTTTTCTCATGGGTGGGGACCAGGGGCTGCGCTGCGGGTGCTGATGGGGCCATGGGTGCCCAGACACACTGTGAGCCCCAGGACTATCGCCCTATGCACCATGAGGACTTCAAGGAGGACCTGCGCAAGTTCCGCCTGAAGAGCCGCACCTGGGCGGGCGAGCGCAGCAAGCAGGAGCTCTACAGTCGTCTCAAGAACTTCTGATGGCTGTGGGGGGAAACCCCTGCAGCTCCCCACTCCCTCTCCCTGGGCTTACCATCAGGCAACATCTCCCAGCCCAAAACCTGGCTGCCCCCAGCCCTCTTCTGCTGGGGGCCCTGCACAGCATCGCTGACCTCAGCAGCAGGGTGGGGGGGCATGGTTGTGGTTTTACCCCTCTTTACCCTAAAAAAGGGTAAAATGGATTTAGGTTTTATCCTAAATCATGACTGGGGGCTGTAGCTGGAAGGGGGGTGTTGCTCCATCCTGCCCAGGCCATGAGTCACTGCCATGTTCAAGCTTCCTCTGCAGCTCTGGGCAGGGAGGGCAGAGGTGTGGTGGGTGCAGGCTGCTGCCCCCAGCTCTCCCCTCCCTGGCAGGCTGTAGGGCAGCCCCCCATGCCAGTGATCCCCCCTTTCCCCTTGAGCCCTGGGTCATGGGGGCTGTGCCAGCCCTGGGAAAACCACCAGGCTGCAGCATGTCCCTCCCCCCGAGACCTTGGGGAAGGGGGTGTCATGGAGCTGGGAGAACCTGCCTGGGGCAGGAGCCTGGACTAGGGCTTAATTGGCAGAATTGTTGCAGGAAAAGCACTTAAACCTCCTTTGCAGCTCGGGGGTGCTGTAGGCCCCTGGCTCTTCTCTGCTTGCAGGGCTGGAGAAGGGGGGCAGCTGCCTGGGGGTAGGAACCCTGTGGGTGCAGTCACTGACTGCATCAGCCTGGGTTTGTTTGGGGGGTTTTTTACCCCCCTACTCCCATCTTATTTAAAGTAGTTTGTTCTCCTCCTCGAATCCAGCTGTGGCTAACTTTGGGGGATGGGTGGGAGGGCTTCACCCTGACCCCAGAGCTGGGCTGTGGCACCATGGGGAAGAGCGCTTGCCTGCCAACCACTACCTGCTGCTGAAGCACCATGAGCTAGGGCGGGTGGGACATGTGTCCTTGGCTGGGAGCTGTCGGGCTGTACTTGTGTGTCTCATTTGTTTTTATGTTTTGTTTTGTTTTTCACACTCCTGGTTAATAACTCCTTCAGGAGGGAGAACAAACTGGCAGCCCTGGGGGTGGGACACGTGTCCTTGGCTGGGAGCTGTCAGGCTGTACTTGTGTGTCTCGTTTGTTTTTATGTTTTTTTTTGTTTTTCACACTCCTGGTTAATAACTCCTTCAGGAGGGAGAACAAACTGGCAGCCCTGGTCTGTGACTGATGCGAAACAAAAGCGGGGCTGTGGGGGGGCTCGGGGAGAGGGAGAGCTGTTTGCAAGGGTGAGGGTTGGGGCGATGGCTTCGCTGTGGGCTTCCCTGAGGGGGTGGCAGCCGGGGCAGG